CTTGGGAGGGTGGAGGGACAGCACAGGAGGGGAAGACCCTCTATGAGGTGGATTGATTCAGTGACTGGGGTAATCGGGATGGGTGTGTCAGAGGCAGTGCGATTGGCACAGAATAGAGCAGGGTTTAGGGCTGTTGTACATAGGGTTGCTATGAGTCACAGACGACTCGACGGCACATAACAACAACAACAACAACAACATATTCCCAGGAGTGGAATTGCTGGGTCAAATGGTTTTTCTATTTCCAACTTTTTAAGAAAGCATCATACCGCCTTCCATTAGTGGTTGCACTGTTTTACACTCCCACCAGCAAGGAATAAGAGTTCCAGTTTCTCCACAATCTCATGAGCCTTTGTTTGCAGCTCTGCTAAACTTTACTATTGTTACTGGGATAAGATGATATCTCATAGTTGTTTCTATTTGCATCTCTCTGAGAGCTAGGGATTTTGAACATTTCTTCATGGTTTGTTTGTCATCTGAATGTCTTTGGTGTTTATTTCTGTGATAGTCACCATAGTAAAGAGATGGAAGCAACCCAACTGGCCATTAACAAATGAATGGATAGAGAAACTGGTATAGTCATACAATGGAACCCTACGCAGAACTGGAAAACAAGGAACTCATAAAACATCACACAACATGGGTGGCCCTGGAGGACATTACACTGAGTGAAATATCTCAGTGACAAAAGGACAAATACTGCATAACACCACTACTATAAAACAGGACTGACATTTGGATTGGGGGAAAACTAAGAAAAGAGGGGTTAAATAACGAACACTGAATTGGAACAGATGAAGGAAAAAACTATTTAAAAGGAAAATATGATTAGGCATTATTTGTATGACAACAGTCCAGAATAAGAGGTGTATAACAAAGTGGACTGGGGGAGGGGAGGAGGAAATTAAGGAACAATGAATGAATTTTTTTTAAGTGAACTGGGTGGGTAAGGAGGAAAATGTGCAACAATGAATGAGTGGAAATCCAACTTTTCCGTAAACTTTCTTCAAGATCACAATTGAAAACAAAAACAAAAAACCAACCAAAAATAGCAGTGCAACCTCCTTTGAACTAGGCCACAGAGCTGACTTGGGTTGTTCAACATGTTTATGTGGTTCCTCACGTTCTGATTCATGTTGTTACGTGCAGTCAAGTCAACTAAGACTCATAGTGACCCTCTATGAACAGAGCTGACCCTGCCTTATCCAGTGCCGTCATCTCTGACGAGCTGAAGCCCACTGTCGCAGTGTCAGTCTGTTTTGTTGGGGGTCTTCCTCTCTTTCCCCAACCCTACCTTGTCCAGCATGGTGTTCCAGAGACTCCTCCTGACAACATCCCCAAAGCATGTAAGAGCCAGACACACACCTTTCCTGATTTGAAACCACGCAGGGTTCCTTTGCTCCCTTTGGAGACCTGCTTCTTGGTCTAAATAGCACAATGAATGTCCTGGGATTCCCATTCTTCTCAATGTTAGCCATAATGTGTTATGATCCAGACAACCAAATGCATTTAAATAGCAAAACACAAGTAAACATTTTTGTGGTAGTCTTTGCTTTCAGCGAAGATCCAGCTGACATCAACAATCACAGGCCTGTTACAAAGCCTCAGCTGGAATGTCTGGGAACCCCCTGTAAATGTGCTGGTCCATTGCTATTGTTGGGTGCCATTGAGGGGAGTATGAATCAGCAGTCCTGGGAACAATACATCTGAGCCCTGACCTGTCTAACCTGTGCCATCTTTACCATCTCTGACACACTTGAGTTCACTGTTAGGATCACTGTGTCAATCTGTCGTCACCACCCTGGGCAAATTACAGGGGAAAACATCCCTGCAGGGTTTCCGAGGATGCAGACCTTCACTGCACACAACCACATCCTTCACCCCAAGAGCCTAACAGCCCAGTACTGTAACCACTGTAACATCAGGGCTCCAGGTTGGGACGCCAGACGACAATTCTGCTCTGTCTTCTAGGCTCACCATGTTGTTGCTGTTATTGTTGCTGTTGTGTGCGTTCAAGCAGACAGTGACCTATAGTGACCCCATGCACAAGGGCTCCAATCTCTGTCCTATCCTGTGCCATTCTCACCATTATTCCCAACACACGTCGAGTCCACTGTCATAGTCACTGTGTCAATCCCTCTAGTTGAGGGTTCTCCTCTCTGATGCTGACCTTTCCAAGCATCATGTCCTTCTCCAAGGACTGGTCCCTCCTAACAATGTGCCCAAAATAAGTGAACTGGAATTTTGGAATCCTTGCCTCCAAGGAGCGCCCTGACTTCACTTTCTCCAGGATAGATCTCTTTGTTCTTTTGACAGTCCGAGGGATAGTCATTCAGCACAATTCTCCAGCACCACTGATCAGCATCAGTTCATCTTCTGTCATCCGCATTCACTATTCAGCTCTCAGATGCACAGCAAGTGATTGAAATGACCATGGCTGGGAACAAGTGCACCTTAGTCTTTATGCTGGCATCATTGCTCTTTAGTATCCTGAGAGCTCACTCATAGCCTATTCCAGGGCAGTGAGATTGGTTGAGGGTACACTCATAGATTCCCATTGGGGGCAGGGCTTTCTCTGTTATGTTAGTGAGACTCTAGCAGTGTAGCATGCCTTTTAACTATTCTTCATTTTTTTAAATTTATTTTTTATTATTAATTTTAATGAACATTTACAGAGATTTTGGATTTCCATTCATTCATTGTTGCACTTTTCTCCCTGCCCACTCCTTCCCCCCAGTTCGCTCCTGTCTTTGAAAAGTAAAAGAAAAATTCTTCATTGGTATACCATCCCCCCACCCCCACCCGGAGTACACTCCACTGTTGTTGTTATGTGCCGTCGAGTTGCTTGTGACTCATGGCAACCCTATGCACAACAGCCTTAAACCTTGCTCTATCCTGTGCCAATCACACTGCCTCTGATACACCCATCCCGATTACTCCAGTCACTGAATCAATCCACCTCAGACAAAGCCCCAGAATCCTTGCCTTCCAGGAGTAGCTTGGTTTAACCCGCTCTAGGTTGAATCTGTTTGTTTTCTTGGCAGTCCATGGTACTCTCAATACTCTTCCCTAGCACCACAGTTCAAAGGCATCAATTCTCCTTCTATCCTCCTTGGTCGCTGTCCAACTCTCTGATGCATAACAAGTGATAGCAAAGACCACACATAGCCTGTATCAGACACACCTTAGTCTCCAGAGTGACTACATTGTGCTTCAGTACCCTGGAGAGGTCCCTAACAGCAGATTTTCCCATCGCAATACTTTTTTTTTTCTTTTATTTCCTGGCTACTGGTGCCAAGAGTGTTGACCGTGGAGCCAAGCAGACTAAAGTTGTTAACACTCTGCCATGCAACCTTAATTCTAAATCGTTCTGAAATGTAAAAAGAGAAGAGTAGTGACATCGGCAAGGAAGCCCTGATTGGGAAGACAGAAGTCAGACATCAGGCAGCTCACCAGGGAGCCTTAAACCTCAAACTCAGCGCCAAGGAAGTTGGAACTGGTGGCCTCATGACAATAAGCTGTGCTGCAATGCCCAAGGCTTATGGTTCAGTTTGGGAGAAGGACGGTCAATCTCTTCTTGGGCCATTCACAGCCTCTGAAAACCCCCTGAGGGGGTCAGCTATGTATGAGTTGATTCTGATAGAACCACAACAGCAACGACAGTAAAACAACACACTGTTAAAGCCACCCACGTGTGGTGTTCCCGTTACAACCTGCTTAAAAAACCAGGCTTCGGATAGAAATATGCGCGACGGAAAAGTCTCCTGAGTGAAATCGAAAGTAGAGCTCCCCGCAGCCGAAGGGGCGAGGGGAGGGCCGTCCTGGATCCCGGGGGCTCTGTGTCACCGGAATCAACGCTCATCTCCAGGTGGGAAGCGCCCGGGCTGACCTAGAGGAGCCCCCACCTTGAATCTGGGTCCCTGGGTCCCGGGGGCGGGGCGTCACCAGGTGCAGCGGAAAGCCATCAAAAAGCCTGACCCCCCAAGTTCAAACCATGGAGCGTTAGACAGACGGCCAAGCGCACACGCCACTATTCCCCTCTTTCCACGTGCCCGCACCCGAACCAGGCCACAGCTTGGACCAAAACTAGAAATAAATCAAGAGTACCAGGTCTCCAAATAAAAACACCCGTTCCCTCTCATCGGTGGCTGAGTCAGACCTTTGAGGAGCTTGACAGGACAGGACAGCCTAGCGAGAAATGCTGCTTTTCCCGGGCCACCGGTAGCGGGGCGGGCTGGCACGCGCCCCCGGGGCCCTCTGAGCGCCCCACAGCACCTCTCTGCTGGGCTGGCGGAGCACTGGCTCTCCGGGAGCCTGACTCACCAGCCGCCTGCTCAGGCCAAGTTCTCCGGCTCTTTCGAAAGGCTTTTTGGCGCCCGCGTCCCGGCGTAATGAATGGCCGCGCGGTGTCCCTCCTGCCCCGGGCGCCCTGCACGCGTGGGTGCGCGCCCCTCGGCTGCCCTCCCAACCCTGCCTCCGAGGGGGGCTCTGGCCCTGGCCCAGGACGGCGACCGCCAAGCAGCCCAGCCAAAGGCTGCACTGGCCGGAGCCGCGCGGGTCAGGCAGGGGTGCGACAGGCAAGGGGCGAGGGCAGCGTCAGGGGGTCTCAGGGGGTAGACCCGGCTCTGAGCAAGAGAGGTGGGCACTAGCCTCCAAGGAGAGGTGGCCCACCACATCCTGGGGGTCTGAGGACGAAGCGTAACAGACAACGGTGCCACAGGTGGAAAAGACCCTAGGGCGGATGAGACCCGGGCGCCGACCCCTAGGGCGGACTCAGAAACCAGACTTCAAGGAGAGAAAGGGGTGCAATGAGCACTAAGGGTCTGGCGCGGTCTCGGCGGCTCCGTGAGTTCAGTCCGGGGTCAAGGCCCACGGACCACCCTGAATGCATAAAAGCAGCGCGCGTAGAGAATAAAGCGGTTCCGGAGGCAGCCATGGGAATCCAGGACCTGAACTCAGGGAAAGCCACGAGGGCGCGGCAGGAGAGCACCCCGACTTACCCGGCCGTTGCGGTCTGTCTCCAGCACCTCCTCTGCCCGCGGCCCCCGGCGCACCAGCGCCCGGAGCAGCTCCACGTCGTTGGCGCAGGCAGCTCGCAGGAGGGACGCCGCCTCCGGGACGTCCTCCGAGATGCTCTCCACGCTCCAGACGCTGTGCTCCTCCTCGCCGCCCGGAGGGTAGAAGGAATCGTCCGAGGCGATGCTGCGGGTGTCGGGCAGTTCGGAGAAGTCCTCGTAGTCCTCGTAGTCTTCGGGGTCCCCCTCGGCAGGCTCTCCCCGGGGCGCGGACGGCGGCTGTGGGGACACGCAGTGCGTCCCGCCGCCCTCCGGCCCGGGCCCGGCCAGCAGCACCATGCTGGCGGCCGGGGCGCGGGCCGGGGGACGAGGTCGAGGTCACCGCCTGAGCGGCGTGCGTCCCGGAGCAGCACGGCCCGCGCGCTCCAGCCCGGCGGCGGCGGCGCTGGCTTCGCTCTGTGAGGCGGCGAAGAGCTCGGGGGCGGAGCCGCGGCTACCGGGGGGCGGGGACGGGGCGCCCCTGGGGCTCCGCTCTTCGCGCTCCGGGGACCGCGCACTAGCGGCTGAGCCCGGGTCAGGGGAAGCGCGTGAGACCCGCGGGGATCAGCGACTCGGAGAGCGGCGGGTGGCGGGCTCGGGGCCAACGCCGCGCTCCTCCCCACCCCCCGGGGGTGGGGCGGCCGCCCCTGCACCGCCCAGCGCCGCCCACCCGGCGGCCGCGTGGGACAGCTGTCTCCCGGTCCCTACACCCCGTGCGCAGGGCCCGGGGCCAGGTCGGAGACTACTCCCGCCGCGTCAGAGTTCTGGGGGCGCATTTCCTCTCACCCGGGAACCCCGGCTCCGTGGAGACACCCCTCACCCCGCAGCTAGGCAGCTTTCAAACCCAGGAACCCCGGAGAACAGCCAGATGTGCGGCCAGCGCCTGAGGGAGTCTGTGTATCCAACTCCCTTTCGATTTAGAACGAACTCCTCTGGGCTTGGGATCTGCGCCTGCCACAGGGAAACCCCGGCCTCGGGAAAGTCCGCAGAGCCCGGGTCACGGCCGCGCGACCTCAGAGTCCGAGCCAGATGGACGGGGATGACAGAGCGGCGATGCTCTGAGAGAGTCGGGACAGGGACACCTGCGCCGAGACCGACTTAAGTCACCAGGACCGGCTGTGCGCTGTCCCGCTGCCGGCTTCCAGCGCAGGGCCCAGGGCCACCAGCGCCCTGCCCTGTCCCTCTGGGGCGGGCACGGGTCAAGACCGGCAGCCGCAAGGACCGGACCACTGGAGGGGCTGCTCTTGGGATAAGCCCCTGGAGAGAGTGGGCGCAGATGCGATCAGGACGCCACAGAGCTAGGGTCCCCGAAATGCTGCGTCCTGCCGCGAGCAGTCACTGTATCCAAAGGGCCCATTTGGAAATAAATAGCCCCATTCCTCAGGCCTCCTCCCTCCTTAAAGCCTCAGACTTGACAGCTTGGGCCACCAGATGCCAGCACGTGGAAGAGTGGAGCAGCCAACTGGACAAAGCAGAGGAGGGTCCTCGGGCCGCCAAGCAAACTGAGAGCCACAGGTGGGAACAGGCTCGAAGGCGTGTCTGCGACACGGGACACGGAACACAGGAGTCTGAATGGCGAGGCTGTCATTGCTTGACCACCTTCCTGACCTTCCTTGCAGGCTCAGAACCTGCTCCAGCTAGAATCCGGAGGACGCGTCTGGCCTGAACGCCTGGAGCCACTGGACTGGCTCACCTCCTTCCCCCCCGGGCTCCGGGTTCTATTTCTGAAGCCAACAAAATATCCCAAACCAGGTTGTAGGTTTGGTTTGTTTTTTAAACTTTTTCTTTAAAGGACTGTATTTACATAAATTCCTACTGAATTTCCTCTTTGAAGGTGGAGGGGTAGTTTGAGCGTTGCCACAGGAGACAGAGTAAAGTTGGGGGATTTACAAATAGAAGTACTCCGGACCACCCCACTCCGGAGAGCAGCTCTGAGTTCCTCCCCGCCCCCTTCTCTCCTCATCCCCCACTCTGTTGGCCGCCAGGAGGAGCGCAGAGCCTTCCTGGCCAAGAAAGGACGCCTCTGGGCATGTGGCCGCTTCCGCCAGCCACCCAGCCCAGGAGGGGACTCCTAGTCCTGCGGAAGTCCCGAACTCCACGTCCTGGCAGGAGGCCCTTTGTCCTCCCAAATTCACTGTCATCAGCTCTGGGTCAGGTTCTTTCTTCTGAGCTCAAGGCTTCCTCCTCTCCTTTCTTAGAAACCAGAGCCCAAGCAGCGTTCCAACAGCTTTTTTTTAAACAAACAACCCACAGGGAAACAAGGGCTCTGCTCCATAGCCAATCCGCCTCCGTGTGTGTGTGTGTGTGTGTGTGTGTGTGTGTGTGTGTGTGTGTGTGTGTGTGATCTAGCCTGTGTTACAAAAATTTATCCTCTTTTGGGAGCTCTGGTGGCCTAGTGGTAAGAAGCTGCACTCCAATCCTGAAGGTAGGCATTTTGAGGCTGCCAACTGTTCTGAAATTAACTGCCCCTGAAAACCCACCAGAGCATCAGGTTTGGGTTGACTCTGACTCTCTGGTACACAAAAACAGCCACCCTTTTTGACCAAAAAGACAACCTCGCACCTTTACAGCATTTCTAAAAGATGAATTGAAATAGAAAAATGGGGTGTATATTGTTGCTGTCAACTGCCCTGGAGTGGAGTAGGACTCATTGTGACCCTATGAACGATGGACCTGAACTCCATCCTCATCACCCTCCTACACTTGAGTCCATTGCTGTGGTCGCTGTGTCAAGCCATCTTGCTCCAGGTCTTCCTTTCACTGACCTTCCACCTTTCCAAGCATAATGTCCCTCTCCAAGGAATAGCCTGTCCTGACAACATGCTGGAGTATGTGAGAGGAAGCTTTGTTGTCTTTGTCTTGAAAGAACACTTTAGTACACTTTCTTCTAAGACCTGTCTGACTATTCTTTTGCTTGTCCATGGGAAAACAGCTGTCACAAATTTAAAAAAAGCTGAGAGCTTCGTCTTTTACCTAAAGAGCAATTGATGGATTAAAACTTTTTGGTTAGAAACACAACACTTAATTAATTGTGCCACCAGGACGTCTCAAGAACCATGTCGCCCATGGCTCATTGTGCCCCTGTGAACAGCAGATGTGTACTCTTTCCTGTCCTGTGCCCGCCTCGTAGTCTCTGATACAGTTGAGCCCATTGTTACAGTTACTGTGTCAAATGTATCTTGTGGAAGGTCTTCTTTTTTCCAAGGACTGGCCCCTTCTTACAGCATGCTCAAAGTATGTGAGACAAAGTATGTGCCACAAGAAAAAGTGAGTTTAAAAAAATATTAAAAAGCAATACTATTTTAAAAAAACCACACCACAACACTGCTGTTATTTTTATTAGGGGCTGTTGAATCAACCACAACTCACAGCAACCACCTATGAACAAGAAGTTTGAACTTTGCCCTATCCTGTCCCATCCTGCAGTCAAAATCTCCGTAAAATACTAAAGAGCAAGAATGTCAGTTTGAAAACTAAGGTGTATCTGCTCTAAGCCATGGCCTTTTTATTTGGTTTCTAGTCATCAGAAAGTTATTCATTAATAAAGATGACCAAGGAGGAAATGATACTTTTGATTTTAAAAGAAAAAAATCTCCATAATGTTCAGGCCCATCAGTCACTGTGTCAAAGCAAATAAAAACATCAAATAGGGAAAAACATCCCTTATAATATCAGGGCAAGGAGTCACTGCATGATTCAAAACTGAGAAGGGTGTATGACAAGGATGTGTCTGGTCTCCATACCTTTTCAGTCTATATGCAGAACAGATTATCTGTGAGGCTGGGCTGTATGAGGAGGAATGTGGCATCAGGATTAGAGGAAGATTCATCAACAATCTCTGTTATGCAGATGACACAACCCTGCTTGCTGAAACTGAGGACAGGAAGCGCTTGCTGCAGAAGGTTAATGACTTCAATATGGATTGAAGTTGAACACCAAGAAAACAAAGTTTCTCACCACTGGACCAATTGGCAGCATCATTATGGATGATGAAGAGATAGAGATTCTTAACAGTTTTAGTTTGTTTGGCTCCACAATCAACATTCTTGGTACCAGCAGACAGGAAATCAAGAGACAAATTGCATTGAGAAAATCAGCTGTCAGTGACCTCTCCAGAGTTCTGAACAGCAATAATGTCAGTCTGGAGACTAAGGTGTGCCTGATCCAGGCCATATTCTTCACAATTGCTTGCTGCACATCAGAGAACTGAACAATGACTGGAGATGCTAGAAAAAGAAATTGATGCCTTTGAGCTGTGGGGCTGGAGGAGAGCATTGAATACTGTGGACTGCCAGATGAACAAACAGGTTCATCCTAGGGAGGGGGAAACTAGGCTGCTCCTTGGAGGCAAGGATTCTGAAGCTTCGTCTGGCATATTTTGGACATGTTACAAGAAAGGACCAGTCGTCATGCTTGGGAGGGTAGAAGGAAAGCACAGGAAAGGAAGACCCTGGATGAGATGGATTGATTCATGATTGGGGTAATGGGAGTAGATGTATCAGAGACAATAAGGTTGGCTCAGGATAGAGCAGGGTTCAGGACTATTGTACATAGGGTTGCTATGCGTTCTCAAGCAACTTGACAGCACACAACAACAATATATTATCTGTAAGGAGAGGTGAACAGATTGTGTGCAAAGAGATGCTTTTAAGAAGAAAAAATAATAAGCATTCTGAAGTTTGTGGACCCCTGGTTCCTGATGCATGGTGAGAAAGCTCCCTGAGGTCCAATCAGCCTATTGGCTTGTCTCCTCTGGTGTAGGCAGGAAGGACGTACTAGGGGTGGTGTCGAGTTTCTTCGGAGAATGTACTGAGCGGTGATCACAGTTAAAAAAGATGACCAAGCCCTGAAGTCATCGTCAGACAAGAAGTTCATTACGTTTTATAAAATCAGTCACCATTGAATTGTGCCCACCATGACCCTATCTTTACTGATCACTGCTCGATCTTTGCCGCGTTTTTTACCCACCCCCTTTTCTGGGGAAAATAATCTTAAAGCAGCTGGTGGATTCCAACTGCTGGAGGTTCTCGGCCTTTTATTTAGCAGCAAGACACATTTCATGCTATGTCACAGCCTTAGAAACCTACGGGGCAGCTCACTCTGTCCATCATTGTTGTTGTCAGGTGCCGTCAAGTTGAGCATGACCCACCGTGACTGTATGAACAGCAGATCTGAACCCTGCTCTATCCTGTGCCATCACTTCCTGACACACTAGAGCCCACTGCCGCAGTCACTGAATCAATCCACCTGGTGGAGGGTCTTCCTCTCCTTCACTGACTCTGTCTTTCTGAGTATCAGGT